TAACACAGTTCTCATTTCCAATATCAAAACCTACAACACTCATTTCAACTCACCGAAAAACGAGACCTTTATCCAAAACTCACCAAGGAAAAGAACTTGATTGAATCAAACTCTACAACTAAATTTCATTAAATTTCTTAAAGAGTTCCTCCTTAAACCTCAAAGCATCACCACTGAAAGCTACAAAGATGAAAATCACATTAAACCTTTAGCAATTTGCTTAATTTCTAAATACAAGTAACCAATAAAACAAAACAAATTTGTCTTTCCAATTATTGAATTACAACAGAAACAAACAAGGCACCAAATTTGAAGCTTTTTAGAAAAATTTTTTGCCACAAAACAACTATAAACCAAGACCCAATTCGCCATTTTGTTTCTATTTCATCAAAAACCGAATAAAATCCATATATTTAACAAAATTAAAGAGAAAAATCCAAACCCAACAAATTTCAGAAAAGAAGAAAAAAAAAAGTTTTAGTTTTAACGGAACCATACTTTACCCGATGGTGGAACAATCTTCTGATGAGAATAAGAAGAAACTGAAACTGAAACCAGAGAAATGGAGTGCGGTGCTCTCTTAGTTTTAGGCAAATAGCTAGCTTTAGGATGAGAGTTCCTGACAACACAAGAAATGATAAATGAGCTGGATGATGAGAGTCCGCTAAGGTTCTGATGGGGAGGATAAACAAAACCACCAAGGATGCTGTAGTGGATCTGCGTGGTGAGCTGTGGAACCGAAGGAGAAGGAGCATTGTTAGGCCAAGAGCGCATATGGGATTGGCACCGTAGTGGCAGAGAGCTGCGCGGTCAATTGAATTTTGGTTCTCAGGTTTCCGTTTCTATAAAGTTTCATTCTACACTATTCATTTACCAATATGTCACCTTTATTTACCGATTTTATTTACTAATATTTACCATAAAGATTAATATAATTATTACTGGGAACAGTGTCCTAATCAGGTTAGAAACTTCGTATGTTCTACTCGTTTGAATATGAAGTACTACCATTTGGCTTTTGTTGCTGAGAGGCCTATAGAGAACTATGGCCGTGGATGGGTACCGTAGAGAGGTTTCTCACTACACTGAATCACCAACAAGCAATTCGATGTAAGGGAAAAAAATACTGGGGAGAGCTTGAAGTGTTGTCCCTTTGGACCACTTGCACATGATTGTTCTGATCGTTTCTTTCGAAGAATATCCAATCGCAATAACATGACTAAATTATACATCTTTGGCTCACCTTTATCATCAACAGCAAGTCCTTTACACTTCATTCTAGATGAGTACAACGCTTCGATTATAGTAGAACATCTACAGCAGCTCGGGTATTCAACATAGACGGATCAAAGTTGCACAAATTTGGAGTTTAGACTCTCTTGTCCGGAAGCAAAATTCTGGCAAAACTTAAAGACTTTGTCATGGAGTTGCTGATCCACCGATTTTTGTTAATCATAACCCAAAGAATGAAATTATTGCAGAAAATTATGACATTGGAGATTAGATGTGACCAGGTAGAACTGTACGAGGACAGAGTTAACTTGTTCATCACCAGATAGATCACTTTGTACTGCAGAAGAGTTGGTAAATCAATTATGGACGGGATGTAGTAGTAATTGAGATGCCATATAGTCTGTCAATGATATGTTGATTCAGTTCTAAATTTAAAAGATCCCATTTTACACCCACTCTGGGGAATGTGTTTACGTGTCTCTTAAGATAATGCAAGATTGTCAGCAAAAAAGGCATTTACCTGTTAATTTTGGAAAACTCCATGTCTATATCATGTATAAAGGAGATAACCCAAATTAAAAGATAAAGTATCCATAAATGGAAAATGTGGTAAGCTTAACATTCAAAGTTATCACATGATGAGAAAATAGATCATCTGTCTTAGGGAATATCCCATCTATCATCTGTCTTCAGGTAGCTGTAACTGTAAACGAAAATAGAGTTAGAAAACAAAAAATACCCCCATGATACTTGTATGTCCTTAGTTGTGCAAATCTATCGAAAAGCCTGACTGCATTGGTAGACTCTACCAAGTTACAATAAACTTTTCTAATGAATTACTATTCCTCAAAAGCCAAATTTATATCAACCGGACCAAGCCCCCCTGCACTGAATTTGGGATGAGGTCTTGCAGGGTCAAACTTAATTGTGATCAGTGTGCTTTTCTAATTACTGTCAGTGTGAAGTGTAAACTTTTGCAAGGAGGTTTCCTATGCATTTAACCTATACTTGCTGGTCCCAGCCCTTGTTCTCCGAATCCGGATGAGAAGCCTTGCACGTCATTATATGCTTACATTTCCTGAAACCAATTAAAAAGAACATTAGTAGATGATATCTAATATCCTTTGAAGTAAAACTGTTCCAACAAGTCAAAGGTGAACAGAAAAAATTCGAAGAAGTGCAAATTAGCAGCACAAAATAAGTACATGTTTAGATCCTCAGTCCTGCTCTTGATCTCACTTGA